TTCTTCGGTTGCATGATCACAGGTGATGAATTATGGATTTTCAAGGACAACACAGAGACTTAGGCCCCTTCCACACAGCTGAATGAAATCCCACATTTTCTGCTTTCAACTGGAATATACGGCAATATGGACACAGATAATCCAGTTGAAAGCAGAAAATGTGGAATTTCATTCAGCTGTGTGAAAGGGGCCTAAGTCTCTGTGTTGCCCTTGAAAATCCATAATTCATCACCTGTGATCATATCAAGGCAGGAAATCCCACAAGATCTGCTTTGAACTGGAATATATGGCAATATGGACACAGATAATCCAGTTCAAAGCAGATCTTGTGGGATTTCCTGCCTTGATATTCTGGGTTATAGGGCTGTATGGAAGGGCCATAAATGCCAAAGTCAGGAGTGGAACACTGCAAACTCTCCCCATCCAAGAAAATGAGAATGAGCAAATCAAAAATCAAATTTTGACAGTCAGAGGGTCATCCATAAGGAATTTGTATCTCCAAGAAAAAGTTTTCTATCAAACTTTTCATTGGGAAGTCCTTGAAAGACTCGCGTTAGAGGATGACACATGTGCAAACAAGCATTGTGCACACTTGGATGCTGTACCACAACAACACCCCATGTCACACAGCAGTCTCCATCTATGAATTTTGGGCAAAAAAGGCATTCCTGTGGTTCCCCTATTTGTCAGTTCTCAGTCCCTGTGACTCTTTTCATTCCCCAGCTCAAAAGCACCTGAAAGAATACCATTTTGGTACTTTGGAGAATATCTAGAAGAGTGTAATCCAGGCATGGGCAAACTCGGGCCCTCTAGGTGTTTTGGACTTCAACTCCCACAATTCCTAACAGTCAGCAGGCTGTTAGGAATTGTGGGAGTTGAAGCCCAAAACACCTGGAGGGCAGAAGTTTGTACATGCCTGGTATAACCAATGAGCTGAATCACATCCCACGAGAAGCCTTCTAGCACTGCTACAAACAATGGAAACAACCCCTCCTTGTAAGCTGCCCAAGGGAACTACTTTGAACTACCTTGGACACAGAATAAAATTCATAGTAAAAAGAAAATCAGTCTCATTACTTTTCTGTTGTACCTCGTATTTTGAGATAATACTTCCACATTCCAGCCAGATTCTACCATTCCTCTTGTGTGTGCTTTTGAACTGAATGTCATAACTAATCTATCTTCCTTCATGATGTCAACCTTAGAAAAAGCTGGAGTAAACCCAAAGCCAATCTTAGATCAATTTTAGCCAGTGTGGTATAGTGGTTTGAGTATTGAGCTATTATTCTGGAAACCAGTGTTCAAATCCCTGCTTGGCCATGGAACACTTCCCAATAAGAGTTCTGCCCTCCCCAATAAGTCCTCAAATTTCTAGCATTGGAGATTGTGAGGCATTGTAAACTGCAGACAGTCAGAACTCATACATTTGTTATATTCACAGTCATTTAGTGATTTTTCCTGCATATTTTCTTTGAATGTCTAATTATGTTTTTTAAGACTCAAAAACATTGATGAGGTGCAAAAGATTAGGGATTGAGTGCACAGTTCATCTGAGGGGGCAGAATTCTTCTTTGAGTGTGGGTATGCTCACATTTTATTCTCTTCCCATAACGGCACTGTTTTGTTGTGTATCTTCAAGTTACACAACAAAAGTTGTGTAACTTGTTACTGTGACCCTATCATGGGGGTTCCTTGGCAATATTTGTTCAAAGGAGGTTTGCCTTTTCCGTCATCTGAGGCTGAGAGTAAACTGTAGAATTAATGCAGTTTCACCCCACTTTAACTAGCATGGTGCAAAACTATGATATCTTGGCATTTGTGGTTTGTGAGGCATGAGCACTCTTTGGCACAGAAAGCTAAAGACTTTGTTAACCACAGCTCCCTGATTCCACAGCATTGAGCCACAGTAGTAAAGGTGTAGATTCTACAGTGAATTCTATAGTGTAGATGCACCCTGAGAGAGCGTCACTTGACCAAGGTCACCTGTAGGTTTTCATGTCCAATCCTCGTCTACCAGAGTTCTAGTTCATCACCTAAACCACTACACTCTGTTGATTACTCCCAACTACAACTCCCCAAATGCCCAACCTGTATGGCATCACAGGTGTTGCACTTCAACCCAAGCCTTAAGGAGAGAAGATAAGAAATAAATTATAGTTAGTTTTAATAATTTTTATCATGTATTGTTGTTATTAGATGAGTATTATATGTGTTGATTTTATGTATTTGAATATGAGGTGGATTGTTCAACGACATCAAATTGTGCCATATGTTAGCCACTCTGAGTCCCTCAATAAGGGAGAGGGCGGGATATAACACTTTTGGAAAGGCATGACCTTTAAGATCATAACCTTTTGGAGAATCAGGAATCTCCATTTGGAAGATTGACCTTTTGGAGGTTAATTTGCATTCACTACCATTTGGAATGATCATAACCTTTTGTTAAGTATCATCTTCCTGAGAAGAGCTAAAAACTTGTTTGGGTGAATCTCTTCTTTAGTGGTAAATATCCACTAGTATTCATGCAAGGTAAATTAGGTTTC